TTCAAGGTCAAACCTATGGTACCATCTTATGTCCCCCTCGAAACCATACAACTTTTGTCTGAAACATTTTTTCATATCTCTTTTAGTTTTTTAAAAAATCGACTGTATAAATTAAAATGGCCCACCCTGTATATAATAATATCTAAAAATATATTATATATAATTTGATTATGTATTATATATTAGATTATATATTATACTTAATTACAGCGAATATTGTTCTTGATAATGTACTTGAACCTGTAAATAAACCTGTTGTAACGCAGTCCAGGCAAGGTTACGGTTAAAGCAATTATTTCTAGCAGACAAGCGAATTACTACAAGAGCGTGTCGCCTTGTCTTCAGTCACAGTCATCTCCGCGTTTCAGTGACAACTCCCGTAGAATGGCGCCAGAAGATCCGTCGAAACGCGGTGGAAAGTGCTCATTACGAACTTATGAAATCATATATCTTTTGGAAATCTTTTTCGTAATTTGTACAATATCGGCACAAGAATGCTTCGACGACGGCAACGAGTTTTGCATCGACCAAAACGACATACTTTCCGCGGATCTTTTACCTGGATCGTTTCTATTTGGCGAACAATACAAAACTAGTGCTCCCAAGGCAGTGGTAAGCGGAACCGTTGACGGATCTTTTGATAGCGCGTTATACAAAATGGAATATCACAGGTAAACTTTCACGTACCATCCGATCTGAATGAACAAACTGAAAATGTAGGCGTGTACAACTTCGACACTGAATTTATATGTGAAATTAGGAAAAGAATGAATGAGTATCTTTGTCACGGCTACATGGCGGAGGAAATCTTCAAGGAAGTGAGCACGCCTAGAGTGAAGCGACATCCGGAATCTCCATCAGCTAACAATGTGCACAATTTCTTGGGCGATGACAATGTTACAATACACGATAAACTTTTGGCCGATGAAGGAAGTTCGAGATATAAAAACTGGCTACAACGGTAAACATGTAGAATAAAAATGTCTAAATTTTATCATCCAAATACAGAGAAAAGTCCTCTATTATGAAACAGGATTTTAATATAAGATAGCGGAGTTTCTGCTAAATTTTTGTAATTTTTCATCATATATAAACAAGTATTTACACAACAAAGAGTAGCAAAAATTTTTTTGTAAAAGTACATAAATTTATATATTTCCGTTATTAATAGTATTATGTTATATGTAATTTTACATACTTCTTTTACAGTGTGGTTTCGCCAAACGTCGCTTAATTTTAATGTTAGTTTAATTCATGTTTGTCTCTTTCTAAGGTAACAGTTGGAAAGAGACAAAGAACGAACTAAGCCAAGCTTAAAGTTTAACGTTTGCAAAACCGGGCCTTACTTGTAACTTTGACAACTGTTATACAATTATTACAATGATATTATAAATTGATATTGTATATTTAGGATAAAAAATTCACTCCTCTACTATAAAATGTTTTATTAATTCAAAATTTATTTGTGTTCAATAAATTATTAGAGATTTTAATGCTTGACACAAAATGATTTTTATTAAAAATAAATGTAATATTATATTAATATTAATTATAATATTAATTAAAAATAACGTTTCTAATTTTACTGTAGTGCTCTGCAAAATACTATTAGACAATTAATAAAGTCTTTTTAATTCGTATCTATAATAGAACAACGACGCTGAACGACGTGTATCGGCACTACACGCCTCGCAAGAAAATGAAACGGAAACAAGACGTCCAACATGACGACATTGAGGAGTTCGACGGTGAGGTGACGGGATACGCGATGCAAGCTCCTCTGCCATCGAATGGAAAAGCGGGCGTCTATGAACCGTCCCAGGAAGGTAGATTGCAGAAGCTAGCGCAGAACATAGCGCGCCGTATGAAAGTCATATTTACATATTCCACGAATAGACGACATGCTGTCATCGTCGACTGGACATTTTTCCCTCCATTACGGACCTTCATCTTCGTACGGCCATCATCATGGCGATCACCTTGGACATCATGGCGACTTTTTTCCGTCCTTCCACGAGGAGTACTATTATGGGCCTCACCAACAGGATCATCAGCAGGATCATCATCATGAGGAGTACGCTAAACCCTCCTACTCCAAGGGAAAGGGCCATGATCTGTCTATTAAGGATTTCTTCGAAATCGCACTCACCGCACTTGCGTTCCTGGCATTCGGGCTGTTCGTCATTCAGCTCTTGATGAATTGCACGGTATTAGAAAGAAACTCGTTTATAAGATGTGTCCTATCATTTTCTAAAATATCTTTTTAAGGAGAATATCTAATTCGCCAAAAATATATTCAAACGTTTGTAACCCCGATAGGAAAAGGTCTCAAATATTGTGTAATAATTGCAGTGATTCGCCAAAACGCAGCTGTTTTGCTGACGTACTATTTAGAAATACATTGTGCAAATATTTGTCAATATTTGACGAAATATGTACCCATAATTCCAGCATTCCAAATTTCATCCAGATCTCGTCACATACCTAATTCTCTAAATATTTTCCTATCGGGGTATATGTATTTGCGGCTCCAAACAACTCCCGTTACGTATTTTAGGATTATAGTGGCAGCAGGCGAATCAGGAGACACGTGATTTCTCTCTCCTCGTCTGTCATTAGCAAAGAGGATTTGAACGAGCTGTCCTATCGCGTTTTGAGGTCCGTCGAAGCAGCCATGGTCGCCGAAGCAGACTCCGGTAATTGTCTGCGCAGGATACTGTGCGAGGATAATCAATATTCCAAGGGGACTAAGGACGATCGTAGAATTTGGATTCCCGTTTGGAGGTAATAGATTGCGTAATGGTAATCATTGTATATTTTCGCACACAAAACGATCGATGTAAACTTATTATCATCCCGTAAGTCGGTCGATGCGTTATCAGTGGTCGACGATTTCGAGTTATATCTCGATAACGTCAGCACCCTCTTTTTCAGCTTGGGCATGAGTTGGTTGTCGGGCAGAATGCTACACAAGACTCCGTGGTCGGCAATGTTGGATTCTGTGAAAGCATCTATTCTGGGCTTGGGTGGCGTCAACTGCGCCTCTTTCTACCCGGACTGCGATCTCGAGGGGGAAAGGACTAAGAGGCGTCGCAGAAGAAGGAAATAATCAATGCTTTACAAGGCTTTACGAGGCTAGTGTCCATACACAAAATGAATTAAACGGCAGCACGTGGAGAAATCTTCGACATAATTTGTATTCATGAATAATAAATTGCAGTATAGTTAAGGGGATCCTAAAGCCATCTGTTTTATCGACATTCTGTGTTAGAGAAAAAATGCAAAACTCTTTTACAGAATTAAAGCACGCAGCAAAATCTAGACTGTACTGGTCGACTTTATATTTAAAAAAAACGAAAAAACAAAGCTTCCTCTATGAGGAAGCAAAATTGACAATTTCACTAATTTTTGTGCACTTGACGACAATATTTGCTTGATACAAGAATTCTACAATAAATATATACAAAATGAGACCAGCATACTCTAGGGCAGGGGTGGGCAAAATGCTGCCCGCGGGCACTCAGCCGACGGGCATGCCCCCACTCCAATCATCGCCCCACCACGTCTCAATCATATTCGGAACTATACTTCTAAAGCGCGACGTTCTTTCCCACTTGCCGAAACTGTCTCCCCACTCTTGCCGAAACTGTCTCCCCACTCTTGCCCGACACGCACAGCTATTGCCCGCGGGCAAACGGGCGCCCGCGGGCAGTGAAAGTTGCCCAGGCCTGCTCTAGGGACATCATATAAGAACAATATCGTGCAATTAGAACTGAGATTAATAGCCTAGGAAAAAAGATTATTTCTAATAAACGCAAGTCCAGAAATCCAAGTCTAGAAAAAGAGAAAAAGAGCAGTACGGCGTGTAGAAATAGTTGCAGGCTTTTTCGAGTAAAGCTATGGTGTTGACGATGCTAGAATTCGATCCAAAATCTCGGTCTGAGCAGTGTGTAGCTAATAAAATTGCCACTTTTTCGTAAAAGCTGCAAATTGGTTGGCTACAAATTTTTCGGACCGAGTAGAACTTGGAATTAAAAATGCTGATAATTGACGCTTTTAATTCCGTCTCCTATCTTATTGACACTGATCGAGTTCACCAGCGGCTTTGGGATCCCCTTAGAATGTAATCAGTGCATCATTGTTTATTACGACTATCGGCATTGTCTCTGCGAATATATTTATCATTGACATTACGTGGAATTGGCAGAAGCGTGGCATATCTGGACCCACTAGGGCATACGTGGAAAATGTTTCTATTACATCTGTCCTGCAATGGCTGACGATTTGTTAAGATCGGTAATTTACGTTCATCGCACAGCGTCCGAAACTCCGCGATCTGAAAAAATTAAGTTCATCATGAGATAAATTAACTGTGCGACAATCTTATTCTCTTTAATTATTCAGGCCGCTTGTAGCTTTGCCAACATGACATAACTCACTTGATCAATGGATATTCCTAATGGCTCTCTGCTTATTAACCAAAGTACACTATTTCTGATATTTGTCATGGTTATGGAGCCCCAGTAAACGAAGTAATCACGTTGGAAGCATCGCATAATATTCGATATAGGGAAAGGTATTAAACGAATGGAAGAATGAGCTGCTTGGATAAAGGGTAATGTATTTACGATGTCATCCAGAAGCGGATTAGGGGCCGCCTGCAGCTGAATGTAATATTATTTTTAAGACACGTATCTAGCTGACATTAAAAATTTCTATTGAAATTTTGAAAACACATATTCGAAAACGTATCAAGAAGTAATGTAGAAAAGATAATCTAATATAGAGCCATTATATAATAGAATTAATTTATTCGATATAACAGAGACACGTATTTTTAATACCTGGAAGAAATACACTAATATGGTGACGCCGTCATTTTGTCGAAGAGCCGCTATTTGAGTGCCGTAATCACTCTTATAATGTACCGCGTGCAGCTCCATTGGCATGCTTTGTGGGCAAACGCGTTTGGATTAAAAAGCCACGTAAACGATTAGCTTAAAAACGTACACGGTGAGAAATGACTCGTCGATCGATGTCGAATCGATGTCGAAACGATGTCGAGTTATTTCTCGCTGGGTAGGCAATAAAAGTGGGACCTTCCACCGTCAACGTGGTGTTCGCTACCGTCCATGTCAGTCTTGCCCCAGTGGAAATGAAGCTGCGAGAAGACATAGCTGCTGACGAAAGGGCCACCGTATAAGTACGGCTCTTCTTCGCGCCACGTTGCACTAAGCATGACTATGAATAATAAACGCAATTACTATCAGAGACGCGAACGCATTTAGATGTTGCATGTTGCTCCCAGGTTTTACCAGTGTATCCAGTGTTGGTAAGTTTTAATTTTTTTGGCGTGACATTGTAACTGGGCCACTGTATAGGATTTAGATTCACGACTTTCATGTGGCTGATATTCAAATCGATCGGCGATCTCAATGTGCCATCGGTGCGAGCTAATTGTTGTATAAATCTAACTGTTTCTTCATGCTCGTATTCGTGGGGATCTATGTATACATAATTACGAGAGAAAAAGTTATATTTAATTTAAAAAGTATAGTATATATCGCACCTGTCGAAGAATTCATTCCGATACGTTATATGATATACATTACTGGCCAATTTAAAGGCTTCAAGCCATTTTCAACATAACATTTGATTTGATTTTGCTTCGCTCGAACTTCAATTGAAACATTTTATCGATACCGAGCACCATCGATAATAGAGCACTCTAGAGAGACCACAGGAGCGCGTCGTTAATGTTTCTATTCTTCAGTAAATTACTGGCAAAGACATAATTTGAAAAGTATTTACTTGGGGGTATGTGCGCACATGCAAAACACACACGCGCGCACACACACACACACATTTGCTTATTCGTAAAAATAAAAATGTTTCTAATTAAAATTTAAAACAAACTTTATCATATTAAACTTTTCAATTTAAACTAAATTAAAAACTGAAATATATTAAAAGAACTTTAATTTACAACATAAAATTGTAAGTTTCTGATAAACGACTATTTAATAACAACTTGTATGTATGTTATGCGTATTATTAACCCGCTTAACATAAACTGTCAAAATACACGATAACAACCGCTCATGAAATATGACATGCTCATTTACACGATTAATTGTTACTTAATTAAACATCGCGGGAAAAGAAAATACTTAGCCGCAAGTATCGTATATACGTACCTTATTTAAGAGTGGAAAGCACGACGACTGTAGTCGACGGATTGGGAGATAAAATAAATGTAGGCTCTCATTTGAAGGAATAAAACATCGGTTGTTTTTAAACAGGATACGTGAAATAATTTACTGGCCCCTCGAAAATGGATTTTGCGCGAAAAATCGGTAAATCGGAAAAGCCCCAAATCTGGAAGACTCGTGACCCGTTTGTTACGATCAGGGATAACCTTCTTTCCGAAGATACGTCTTTTTCGGAAGATCGTCGTTTCGTGAATTGGAAGAAATGGCTTGCCGAGCGGAGGAAGCAAACTCGTCGCGTCGAGTCTGTTACTGGTCGTTCGCAGGCCGATCAAGTACAGAATTCCACAGAAAGGTTTCGCGCCTTCGTGGAGATGAAAGACCTTATGGAACACGCCGCCGGTACCGTGTTCACCGATAAGTATCGCAGTGGACCGGAATTTTGGAGAACGCCCGAGTTCCTGCCGAATCGCGGCGATACCTGCTTGCCGGAGATATCCTTGACTCCCAGCAGGAAGGACTTGAATCTTCGCCCGGACTTGATGCACGTCGGACTGCCGGATCTAATGGCAAAGGAGCGAGCTCTCGCCTCCCAAAAGGAAGAATTCTGGAAACGTAGCGAGTATCTGAAGACGCGTAAGCTCGAACTTGCCGAGGAACTCGCACTGCTGCTGCCCAAGGAGCCGGAAACGGCAACGCTGGCCATTCAAGGACGTGCGTACGAAAGGAAGAAATTACCGCTGCTACGAATTCCGCCGGTAACCATCACGGAACCTGATGAAGATGAGCCGCGCGGGGCTGCCGATCAGGCAGCGGTTCTGAGGATCCAAGACCGAGAATTCGTCTGGCACGGATCTCCCTCCGGAAGAACGGAGCCAGTGGGCACCGAGCCTATCGTGTGGTCGCTAACTTTTGCGGGTAAACCCAATGAACGAATCGAGAGAGAGATTGTCCTCGAGAATAAAGGAACCCACGTTATCACGTATTATTGGCGATACTCGCCCTTCCGGACGTACGGCGTGTCTCTCGAGAGACGGGGCAGTCCGTTCTTCTTCAACAAGACGAACGGACTCATACTTCCGGGGCAGATCGTGAGGCTCGGGGTGTGGTACCGATCCGGGACACGTGGAGTCTTCACCGAATTTTGGCGATTCGTCACGGAGCCGAAATTAAGTCCCTCCACGTTCGTATTCCGATTCTGGGGCTGCGCGACCGATATCCAAGATGAAGAACTGACCGATCGCCAAACGATCGACGAATACCTGAATCGCTGCGTTCGAGACTCAATGATACGCTCGATCGTCGAGGAGATCATGACTAGAGTGGAGCACAGTGAACTACTGGAGCCGCCTCGTGAGACGTCACTCTCGCAAAGTGACCTGTTCGTCTCCCAAAATCCTTATCATCATTATCATCCGGGTATCGTAATGCAACTACAAGCAATATATTTTGACGTTGCCGGTAAGAGCACGCCAGCCTGGAATTTGTCACTAGACACTCTGCGAGGTATTCTTTTGCGGATAGAAAATATTAATTACAAACGCGACATGCTGGCCCGATTTAACAAACTTTGCAAACAAAGTCTAAGGCCAAGATTGATCGAACCTGATATCGCGTATCTCAATAAATATGACGCTGCGTATAATATTTTATGTGCCTTCGCGAATCTGTTTGAAAATGAAAGTGAACTCGTGAAGAGGAACAGTCTGACGCGAGAAGAGCCTGCAACGCCGATGGAGGTAGAAGAGAAATTGACGCCCGTGTCTCAAAGATCCAATAACAGTTCGCTAGAAATATATAGCAAGAAAATAAGTGATCAGTCAGAAACTATACTAATGCAGAAAGAGGAGGAAAGGTCCAACTTAAATTTGCAATCTTATAGAGAAATATTTTTTATTCGTATATATAAAGCGCTGGAAGAAACCATAGAACGAGTTTGCTCCACTGTCGATTCTTTTCATAGACTTAATGAGTTGAGGCTTAAGATTTAGTAGCAATTATATTTATTCTCAAGCAGTAACAGATAATAAACTTTCAAATTTTTAGTAAATAATTTTTATAAAATGTGTGTAAATATTTAACGTATAGAAATTAATTTATACACGTATTATGAAAATTTGAAGATTATTTTAGACAATTTCTGTTGAAATTTTGTTCAAATTAGCAACTTTGAAAATCTGTAGCAGTTTATTAAGTTGGTAGTATTTGTCTCTTTCTTAAGGGACAGCTAAAAATGTTTGTCGTCCTTTTAAAAGTTGCACGTCTCTCCAATTCGATTTTATAAATTTGCCATTTTTATCCTTTAGTTTTCGGAACTCGTTAAGCTAGAAGGTTTATTAATTGTGTACGTATATTAGCCTTGTACTTTTTCTAATAATTGTAATATTTCAAGTGACAAATATTATTAAAAGCATGATAAATATATAGAGAATAATTATTACAGAAACTTTAAAGAAATCTTTGCGCTGTTCATATATTTGGCACAACTTAAATTGAATAACTAACTTGGCAAGATTGTATAGGAATAATGGCTGGAAATATGATCCACGTAACGCAGTCTGAATTAAAATCTATGTTGTAGAAATTGTAGGATCCGTGATATGTGTAATAACTTGGACAGTCTGTTGCTATTCGCATCCAAGATAAAGAATCTAAACAGCACAAAAGTATTGTCAAATTTGAAACATCGTATACAATACGGAACACATTCTGCTCTGTGGATATTAACTTGCTGGAATTTTTATATCTGACCCAGGATTCTGAATATGCTTGAGATTTTCAGAGATTCTTTCAAACTTGACATTGTACAATTGACAAGGTCCCGATTGAACCTATGAAACAAAATTGTTAATAATGGATAAAAAATATATTTAAAGATGTAACCGTGTATAAATAAATGCACCAAGAATAGATAAGCTAATATGCAAAGACCATCGCGATGTTTCAAACATTCCTCGAAGGTAAGATATTTTCGGTTCCAATGCACCAAATGGCATTCCATGGAAAACCTGCGTGAATTTGAATAAAGAATCCGTTAAAATTTTGCAAAAATTACCGAAACGAAATTTCTTATTTTAACAAATTAATAAAATTTGTATGGCTCAAATGTGATAAACACAAATTTGAAGGAATAAAGGACTAAGAGCCGATTTCTTAGTCCTTTATTCCTTCAAATTCTTATGTTAAATTGACAGCTGTTGAGAGCGCATTCTTACCAAGTACCATTGATCGTATGTTCAGCACCTCTACAATCGTTCTCGCCCCAGTGAAAGTGCGCATTGTGAAATTCGTACTTGTCATTTCCGAGCGGTCCACCAGACACTGTCGACGGGATTCTGTCGCCGTTCAAAAAAATAATTGCTGAAAAGAGAATTTAACATCTAATCGCGCCCCGTAACGATACTAACAAATCTATTTCAGTACAAAATAAAGGAAATTACCCTTTCTGCCGTCATTAAATAAAGTTGCGTTTCCATCTTTTAACCAGTGGCCATTTAAGATTAACGGCGGAAATCTCGCAAGTCGCGCAATTTTGTCATTTAAATCGATCGGTGCTTGACCACTTTTTTGCGTAGCTCAAAAATATATTTATTTATACAATATAACGTAAAACTTGTAACATGAAGCACTCCTAACCTGATATTGTTGCCAATTACTCCAATATTTTACTTACCTAGTTTTGTATAATTCGCCATTATTATGCTAATCGAGAATTATTCATTGTAGAGCAAACGGTAATTCAAAAATTTTGTACAAGCGGTAAAGGTATTTTTAAATTGTATGTCATACTATACATTTTAAGTAAATCCAATAAGTTACTGATCCTTGAAGTTAGCTGCTAATCTATGCAGCTACATTTTATATTGCTACAATTATAATACAAGGATACATCATATCACAGGATGTATCCGTATTACAAGAATTTCAGTAGAAAACTTAAATCCTCGTCCATTTAATTTGCATTTCATAAAATAAGAATACACAAAGAAGATTCTATTTTACATATATGTATAAAGACCTGACCCAGAGCAAGCAAGCGAGCGAGCACAAATAACATATTCTTCAGCGACAATATTCGTTCGTATTTATTCATATTTGCATGCTCTCTAGATTCGGTTTAATTCCTTCGCAATAATTCCTTTGGCAAAGAAATTTTAGAATCCTATAAAATACATATGTATATAGGGTGAGTCGTAAAGGCTGCCCCAACCTTTTACCACAAGTGGTGAATTATCGAACGCAACTGTAGCCAACTCGGGGAAAAAAAATGGATAAAATTTCGTTCTACATGTCTCAGTCATGTAATATCTAATTACATTTCTCGAGAAATAATTAGATAATACGTGATTGAAACATGTAGAACGAGATTTTACCAACTTTTTCCCCGAGTTGGCTACAGCTGCGGTCGGTAATTCATCGCTTATGGTAAGAGGTTCGGACAGTCTTTACGACTCACCCTGTATATTGCTTTCGACCGATCAAGCTACCGTATCCTTTGTGGCGAAGAAGATCCTTCTCCCGCGAAGAAGGTGTTGCGATCTATAGTTCCTTACTATATGCTCCCATTTGTGATCGTAAAGACTTCTGAATGCTTCGATCTATGATAACGTGTAAATTATTTTATACGTGAATATGTACACAAAGTGCACATAATTTGAAAGTTTAATTAATAGAGGAAAGTCCTCTATTAATAGCGTAAAGACTTCTGAATGCTTCGATCTATGATAACGTGTAAATTATTTTATACGTGAATATGTACACAAAATGCACATAATTTGAAAGTTTAATTAATAGAGGAAAATCCTCTATTAATACCATAATTTCGCAATGATTACACGAAAGTCCTCTATTAATAGCATAATTTCGCAACGATTACACGATCTAACAATGACTTTTCCACTGAACAGATTTCGCCCCAAGGGGCGAATAAATTCTTAATGGAATCAACTGATGATGGCTATTAATTTAACAGAAACTCTGCTATTCCATATTAGGATCTTATCTCATAACAGGGGACTTTACTCTACATGTATACTTTTAATATACCTGACGAGACGACATTTTTATTGCATTCGGCACAATTATCCAAGTAACGCATTCATTATAAGGAGGAAAAGTGAGAGAGCCTGGGTAAGTATAATATCCAGGAGATGTGCATGCCTGCATCATCCACTGTAAGCAGTCTAGAAGTAAATTATGAGTGCAATTATGAGTCAATTAAAAAATAATAATATTGCAAATAATACTTTATGTAATAAGTATTATATAATACTTTTATGAATATTTTACTTATGATATATTGCGAAAGTATTCTATAAAATAAAATGAAGATGTATACACGGAAAGAATTTTCGTAATCGTGGGACAACATGGCATTTCGAACATTTATGAGAATCTTCTGAAATTTTTCTAGCAAAATGTATGGTACAGTTTCACAAACTTTCATAAAATTTTTCGAATGTTGTTCCACGATTACATGATTTTCAGGATAAATTTTACGAGAAAGTTTCTCTATCCGCGTACAAGTTTTTGTAAAAAGTCGCTCTCACTGTTAACTGCAATGGCGGGAAAAAAGGGACATTGCACTGATAATCACGATCGATCTATTTTATAACTAATTAATTCAATACAGATTATGGAAGATCATATTACCCGGAGTAATATTTACTGCGCTATCCGTCCGTTTTATTTCCGAGAGTTTATCAGTGATTGGAGCAAGTGCAGGATTATCTGGAATCCCAGGACAGCCGACAACCTTTTTTATCATAATTATACATTAATAAAACTGCCACAGCGATCCAGCGAAATGATTTCCCGCAAATGATATTGTCTATCATAAAAACGGCAGGATTCTGACATGTCGGATTTTAATTAATTCTCGGTCGTACCTGCATGAGGTAGGAGAGTATTGCGATTCCGTCAGATTTGTCGTAACACTTGTCTATCGATCCGTAACGTGTATTCCAATGCATAACTTGTGCCTCCATCGAATACCTTGTTAAATACTGTCATTTAGAAATTGTATTAATCAATGCAACTAACTACGTTAAAAGAAGCTCGCGTTTAATTTAAAATTCAATATAACTTTAATGGAAATTGAAATTAAATAAAGAATATTATGATTGAATATTACAAAGAATATTATGATACATTCTTCACGCAGCCAGTAATTTTTAATATCAAATTCGTCTCTCTAACCAAATGTTGTCAATGGAATGTTCTGCGCCACGACAGTTGGACGGGCCCCATCGAAATTGCACGTTCATAAATTGAAATTCATCGCTTTTCAAAGGACCGCCGCGCATTATTGGCATTTTTCTGTTCGCCAGCTCGATATTGACTAAGAAATAATATTAAACGATAAATATGTGATCCATTGTTCCGACTTTGTATTGAGCGCGAAGAGAACCTGTTTTGCCGGTGTTTGCAAGCATTGCTGTGCCATCGTTCGACCAATAATTTGTCAAAAGTAAGGGGGGGAATTTCTTATTCCACACGGCGATGCGACTGATGTCGACTGGAGACTGCCGCCATTTCGGCAGACCCGAAGACGATGTCGTGAATAATTTTTGTTCTTATGTAGAATACAGTTTAACATCAAAATTATCAAATAAATGCAACAAGAATATTCTCTTTAATAGATTAAACATCCATCTGTAACAAATGCTTTATCTACGAAGCAAGATTACGATTAAAATGTCTATTTACGTGAAAGTACGCTCTTAGATTTGAATGCCATCTGTACATCGCGATCGAGCTTTCAAACGTAAAATTTAAATTTAAGTTTCCATCGCTTCTAAAACACGTTACTTTCAACGTACTGATATTATAACCATCTTGATGCCATCACTGGAAACAAGTTGTAAGTAATTTGAGAGTAAGAAGTTGCCTACGCATTGTGATACTTTCGAATTACTTCGTGCTTACATTACGGTATTGCCTTCATATTATTCTTATAAACTGAAGTGAGCTTCATATCGATTTTCAGCAAAAATTATTTGACATTCCGCATTATTTCTTAAACATTTTTTATAGAGATTATTATGCGGTATGAAACACTCGGCAAATTCTCAAGTACGCTACTCGCCTAAACATTTATCATCACGTTGGAAATATCGCACATGAGTCTTAACAAATCCGAACCTCTACAATACAAACACCGAGTAGGACTTCATTATAAAAATGTTGGATTTCTCATTAGCGGAATGTATGGTCGCGTGTAGCGGCGTTCTGCTCATGGGTGCGTATGTTATATGGAAAGACACGATTGTGCAACAATTAACAGCCCACAATTTTATGAAATTAATTAAGTACTCGCAAACCTGAAATTGCACTTTTACCGTTGGACATTTTCACATAAAAATTTCTTTCGCTCTAGTGCTATTGTTAACTGAAATTTTGGATGGGACGCAATTGTTCTCGTGGATGGAAAACGACTACCGTCCGCCTGCCTTTTCGTTCGGCTATGCCGATCAGAACGGCCCCCATACGTGGAAAGATTTGTATCCTGAGAGCACCGGTAGCACTCAATCGCCTATTAATATCACCACTAGGCTCGCCATAGTAATGCAGCCGTCCGAACCACTTCGATGGAGCAATTACAACAGTGGACCTCTGTCGATGACTATCGCAAATGATGGCCATACTGGTAAGCGTGAGTTTTCTACAAGCAAACAAATTGAAATATATGTTTAATAATGCGCACATCTAATATTGCTAAAATAACAGTGGCATAAAATGTAAATGAGAATTTTCTATGCGCAAATAAAATTAAAATAAATTAAATTTTCATATTACTAAAATAATAATGGCATAAAATAAGTATAAGTTTTTTCCACAAGTAAATAAAATTAAAAGAGCCTTAATAATATATTTTAAATATTAATAGAATAATAATGCGTTAAATAAAACGTTGAATTTTTTATGAGCGAATTAAAATACATTTAATGATATATCTTTAATGTTACGATAATAATAATGTGGCATAAAATAAAATAGACCAATTAAAGTTATATACTGTGCTACATAATGTTTTACGCAGTGATACTCCGGGGATTTTGGACCAGCACCAGGTGGCCGCAGCTGCAAGGAGGACCTTTGACCGATACATACGATTTGTTCAACGTTCTCTTCCATTGGGGTCCGTCAAACGAGGAGGGCAGTGAACACACATTGGACTACGTCCGTTTTCCTATGGAACTGCAGATCATTCACATAAAACGTGGAATTAAATCGCCCACGGATGCGATCGCGCTTGGCGTAAAAGACGGAATAGTGATCACTTCGTTCTTCTTTCAAGTATAATTCTTTTGTCAGCAGATAATATAAATGCTTTATCACAAGTACAATATTATCAAATTAAATTAATGCATCAGTAAAATGTACTTATTGAACTTGAGTCGTCGTAATCATCCTTGCTTACTATGACGTTTTACGATGCAGATAAATGACGCGGATAATCCTTACTTGGATCACATCGTGAGCAATTTGTGGCGCATCACCTGTCCGGGATCTAAAGTTTACATACCTCCTTTCCCATTGGAGTGGATCTTTGCGCCTTTCAACAGAGATTATTATACGTACAGCGGTTCTCTTAGTCAGCCACCCTGCAGTGAAATTGTCACATGGATTGTGCAGCAAGAACCAATCGCTGTATCCTCATCTCAGGTAAAAGCATACGCTAAAATATTTATCGGCCTTATCGTCATTTATACAATTTTCTGTTATAGATGGAGAAATTTCGAAAAATCTGTTCAGCAGAGGGCCCAATACTTTCGAATTGTCGACCAGTTCAACCGTTGAACGATCGCGACGTTTATTTTTATGAAGAAAGCTTGTCGCGCAATTGATATACAATCATTTCATCGGATCGTTTGGTCAAAATGATGAAGCACATGTAGAAAACTTGTCATCTTATTAATATGTTAATTTCAGGACACATTTATACAATGTATGTCAAATTAATGCCAAATTCAACGTAGTAATATTGCTCTTTAGGCAAACACAAAATTTATAAAATTTATGTTAAGAATTACTGCTTGTACCAATGCAGTTACTTATTCTGTAAACGGTTAATTTGAGACATTAAGAATTTTAGTGGGTATAAAATTCATGAGAATATAAAATAAGTAACAAGTATTTACACAGAGAACAACATCTTTATTATCATTAAAGTGCGTTCTATAAACGCAGAACTTTCGTTTTGCCAAGTGTTTTGAGAAAATAAAAATATATTAAAATTTGTGTCACTCTTTTGGCACAAGTTATAATAATACATTCTTCAAAAATTATTATCGGAGAGTGGAAAGCGTTCCCTTAAAGTATACATAATGTATTTTTATACACCAATATATGTATATGTATATATATGTATGTATATATGTATACGTGCATCATCCATTTCGAAATGGATGACAAGTGTCTATAAAGATCTACCGCACACGATTTGTTATTAGGAGAAGCTGGGATTGATTAAAACCTGTAATTTATTTTGAAATTGTCGAAACACAGAGATTATTTTTTGGCGCTACCTCGAACATATATTATTAGGCTAAGTAGAAATACATGTAAGTAAAAATTTAATGATATGTTAGTAAGTAAACGAAACCTTTTCTTTAGCTCGATTTACAGCTAAGAATCTAGGCTAGTTAAACAGATCTTGAAAACTGACGTCAGTCAAAGTGGATCAGTGTTACATGATTTTAACGTATTTTCTTACTAGACTACCAAAACATTGCTCAGCAGTCTGTTAGTAGAATATATCAATCAGCCTCAGTCTCCCCTAAGTATATTCACATAAACCTGTTAGTCGTTAAAAATTATGATATCTCTTCAAAAGTCCGTGTACAACTTTGTGCGAAAAATGATTTTACGTCTCCAATCAGGTAAATTTTCCACAAAGAAGAAAACAACTCGAAAGTTCTCACGCACACAGCGCATATATGTATATTAGGGTGGTCCTTATTTACTCTTGATCAAAATTTTGTTTTCGAATTTTTTCCACGGCACCTTCCAGAATGTTTCCAATCCACAAAAAAATAGTCCCTGCCAAATTTCAGCTTGATCGGACAACGGGAACCCGTGCCCCCGACACGTTAAACATTTGAGTTCCCTCACCGAGAAAAATACTTTAATAATTATTAATATACCCTAAGTTTGAACTCGATTACTTTGTCAGAAATATATAAATGTTAATATAAATTCGTGATATTAAATAGTAATGTACGTGACCGTACAGTAAAAATATCATCAATTAATATATAATATTTGGTAATTCTAATATACCA